AGAAGGGAGAGTGCCTCTGTAGTGGGTTATGCGCCCAGGCCTCAGCGGCACTGAGCAGAACTGAGTTCAAACCCTGGACTTCCCTCTGAGTAAGTTATGTTGGCATAGATCCTATGTCATAGGGTTGTTCTGAGGATAAAAGAATGTGGACAGGGCCGTCGGCATTTGGTAACATTCACTGCATGTTGGTTACTGATGACACTATTATTATCCATAGAAGCTTTTTTGTTGTTGTTGTTGTTCTCTGGATACACACACACAAATGAGCAGAGAGACAAAAACAATATACTTACATAGTATATTAATTGTACGTAACTGATGTGAAAATGATACTTCATTAAAGCATTGTTGTCTTTTAGATTCAGACATTGACACATTTACAGATGAGATGATTTTGTATCTTGGATTTGCTTCCAAAGGCGGAAAAGGTGGCCCAGGACAGTGACTGCGCAGGTGAAACAAGGCCAGGCTTCCCCCGAGAACCGCCCGGGCCGCCCGAGCACCACAGGGGTCTGTGCTTTCGTATCGTGTGAACTTTTCCGTTATAAAACGTTTACAAATACATTAAAAATAGTTACTGAATAGCCTCATGGATTCATTGTTGTTGGGGGAGCCAGCTCTCAGCTTAGTTTCCTTTATTCCTTTTGGAAGAGTCACCAATGCCAGGCCAGTGAGCCGTGCGGGGCAACTCTCATCACTCGTGACTCCTGCAGCAGCTCCGAGTGGAAACAAAATAAATACAGTTGCTGCATTTCCTTTGTCTTCAGCCACTTGGGAACCCTCTCTGAAACCACCGTGGGCATTTTAAGTAACCCTGATTACCCAGCCACGACAACGAGCCTTTCGGGAAGCCTGACAGGATAGAGTAACTCTTTCTGCCCTTCCGTACTTGCATGACAAAAGGCATAGCAGCTATTAAATATCGGTGCCCAATGACCTAATGAATAATGAGCCCGTAACCACATATTAGGCATTTGGGGATCTGAGCTTCTGCCCTGTGTGAACTTGTAATCTTCACTGTGTGGCCTTGTGAAGTTTGGCTGCTGAGTTACCCATTGGCATAGGAGGCGGAAGAACTCGAAAGCCAAAACGGACATCTGGATATTTAAAAGTCAGGAGGTCTCAGGGTGATTTTTGCTTTTTTTTTTTCTAATGAAGATAATTTATCCTTCATGTAGACACTGACCATGGCCATACATGGCTCTGTAGACTCTGGGCCTGCTTGACTAATCCTCTCAGCATGCTTCTTTCCCACCTGCGTGCGCGCCAGGGCGGGTACTGGGCTCCCCTCTCTCTCATCGCCTCTCCCAGAGCAGGGTCACTAAAGCAAAGAATTTGAACCTAGATTTCAGAATTCTTCTTTTCCCTCTGAAATCCATCTATAAGGGGGAAGGCACATGGCTTTCTCTAAGTTAAGCACAATAATTTGGAGCAAAGCCTTCAGTGGGTTTATAGAATTTCTTACTTTTCCCTAAAAACAAGGCAGGCTCTCAGTTGGCCAGGGCAGCTCATGAAGTGCTGCGTCTCACTCCGATTAGTACCTTTGGCCAGGACCAAGCTGAAGCGAGGGCGGAATGAGGTTCAGCCCCAGCTAAGTGGGAAGACAGGTGCTCAGCCAGAGCCTTCTAGAATACAGTGCAGAGTGTGCTGTCACACAGAGGGGAACTGGGCACTCCAGGGACAGAGCGGAGTGCCTGGGGACATCAGGACAGACGTCACAGTGGAGGCGTGAACTATCTGGACTGAGGATATAGCCTAGGATTATATCAAGTTCTTAATCAAACCCCCTTAGGATCCAATTTGAAGGTTCTGCCCTGTTAAGTCGTATCCAGTGCGAAACCAGCACTGGCATTTCCTTCAGGGTGCAGGCAGTTCTGAGAATGTCTAAGATTAGGCTGAGAAGTCAGGGTCAAGGTGCATCTGTGCCCTCGGGTATCCTGGGCCCAGGGTGGGCTGGATCCCCTGCCCTGCTCGGTTCTGTCTCCTGAGCAGCGACCCTGTACAGAGGGCACTGTGACGGGCGCCGGACAAAGCCGATTGCGAAGCACTTTCTCTCCCTGAGCAATTCCTGCTACTACCCATGACAGCAGCTGAGTAATAAGCAGTCGAACCTCTTACCTGGGCTTAGTCACAGGCTCTCTTGAGCAATCACAGGTCAGCTTTTTACCCCATTGTGGGTTTCTGTTAGTACTTGTTTCTGTTACCTGCACATAGGCTTTATGGGCTCTTAGCAGGCATAACGGCTTCGGGCGAATTCAGACTCAGTCACCTAGTTTGGCAATGTGAAAGAGTTGGAATGCTCTGGGCACGGGTCCACACGGGCCTGGACCACAGGGCTAGACCATGGCTGCCGACGCCAGCCCAGGGCTCTGCTCCCCCGCAGCCTTGCTCTGCCCTGGGGCCTCGAGCTGTACACGACCTCTGCCCTTGTCCTGCCCCTGTAACGTGTGCATGCGCAGCCCTGGAGGAGCCAGGAGTCTGAGACCCCTTGTGAAGGACTGAGAGACAGCACTCCTGGTGGTGGCCTCCCACGACCCCCACCCTGGGATCTTGTGACCCCACCTTCACGTGGCTTAAATAAGTCTTGCTCCTGTTGAGGGGTCGGGGGACAGTTGGGGAGGAAAGGCTTCCCGCAGGTCACAGCCCACTGAAAACAGTCAGCCGTGCAGGAGGCTACTTTGGAGGCGGAAGCTGGGAGTGGTTTAGAGGCGGGGAAGGCTCGCTCTCGGAAGTGGATGCACAGGTACCTGGCACACCTTCGCCTCATGCCCCTCACACCCAGGGGACCACGGCCAGGAGCAGAGAGGAGTCTGGTGTGTGTGCCCACTGATCTGTGCCAAGGAAACTCTGCTGCTCGGACCTCCCTTGTCGGGGTTCCTGGAAAACAGGGCTTTGTTTTCAGTCCCAGGTGTCTGACAGTGACCTCTCATAAGATCTGCATGGTCAGACTCCCAGGTCACAGTGTGGAAACCAGTCCCACCAGTTCTGTCGTCACCTACCTCCTCCAGCTGAAACGTGATCCGAGGCTGCATGGACAGACACCAGCCTCATCCCTTGGGCCAAGCACGCCCGCAGAGCAGGGTCAGGAGGACAGAGCCATGAGTGCCCACTGTGGCCATGGAGCAGAATAGCAGTCAGCTGTGGCTACTAAAGACCCTCCAGTAAGGGAACCCCATCAGTGTCCCACGGGGTCGGGCCATGGCAGCCCCCCGTTCTGGCTGCTGACTACAAACCTCCAGGTCAGGGACATTGCCTAGTATCCCTCCTGGCTGCACAACCACCTCCTCACTGCTAAGCCCACGTGGTTTGCCTCTGAATGCTTTGGTCCTTGAAAAGCAAAGCATAAAGGCGTCACTCAATAGGCCAGGCTGCTTCTCTTATCCTGGCCCAGGTGAGCCAGGAGGCTGGCAATTGTGCGAGTCTGTAGGACTCTCTTCCAGCCTGCCTTGCCGACAGGCCTCCCTCCCCCTGAACGTGCCTGGTGCTAGGAGCCATGCTGGGGTGGGGTTGGTTTAGGCAGTGCTGCCTTTTATGGGCAGAGTCTTCTCGGTACCCGGCCGTGCGCCTGTCTGTGTGGAGGCCCTTCACCAAACAGTGCTGCTGCTGGAAACTCACTTCCTCAAATGGACTCGGCTCCTATGGTTGGGGGAAGTGTGGAAAGTGCCTTTGTCCTGGGTTCCCCATAATTCACTAGGCCCCTTGAGGTACCTGTGCACCTGGGGTACAACCACACACACCCTGTTCTTACTCCTGTTTTTCCTTTTCCTGCTTAGGAACATGACCACTAACCCCCTGAATCTGAGAGAGAAGCAAGGAGTCCTCATTTCTGTGTCCTCTCCCCTCCATTTCCAAGGGGTTGTCAGGCCTCATTATTGACCTTGGTTTTCCCCAAAGCACTACTGGCCCACCTCTCACTTTCCAATCCATTTGTCACTGTCCTAACTCAGGTCTTAACATCTCTTCTCTGAATTGATTCAGCTGGGAACCTGTTACTCCCTTAGTCAAAGAGCTTCAATGGATCCCTTTTGCCTAATAGCCGAATATCAAAATTCCTTAGCGTGGCATTCAGGGCCCTCCATCCTGCAGACCTAACTTTCCTCCCTAGCCCTGCATCTGAAGGTTCCAGCGTCCCTTGCTGTCTCTCCTGCCTCACTGTACCACATGAAGCTCCCGAGCCTCACCACACATCACACCTCCGTGCCTGCCTCCCTGCCCCAGCCCCGTCCGTCTGCCCGCGCTGACCTTCCAACACCCCTTCCCTGTCTGGAAGACCGCCCCTACTGTGGAGTCTTCCCTCTTGCATCTGTCTCACAGCACTTGGCTCATACTTCTCTCATGCCACTTGTACTGTACAATAGTTGGTTCTCCCTCTCTCCTTCTTTCCCCCTTCCTATGTATAATATGTGGAACACTTACACACATACATGTATGTATATTGAACAAGTTTTTACTGCATGCACTGTGCTAGGCACAGTAGTGAGCCAGATCAACCAGAAGCATGCTTCACAGACTTATACTTCAGTAAATATTGGTCTCACCCTCACACTCTGAGTTCCATGGGGATAGAGGTCATCTGTGCTCTTGATGGTCTATTACGATCCCTGGCACATGGTGGCCACTTGCTCTGTGAGTGGTCACTAAGTGAACCCCAGTGGGTGGAGATAGACACCAGAGTGGAGGGACGGGGTGGGCGGGTACCGATGGGTACAAGGTAAGTGGGAAGCCAGGGAAAATCACATCCTGCCCTCACTTTCTAAAGGGCAGCCTATATTCTATATGTGGTCAGTCCATTCATGTGGAACCGTCATCTAGGGAACCCTGATGCCAATTTTGTGAGTTGATCTAAATGTTTTCTCTAGATGACCCAAAAAAGTTTGTTCTTTTCGAAGTGTGTGTGCACGACCACTGTGGTCTGATCACCCGCCCCTCGAGCCAGCTTGTCCAGATGGACAGTCTGGGACCCGGCTGCTCTAACCGCTGTCACTCCTTGTTTCTTTCAGAGATCTGAAACTGGACAACGTGCTATTGGACCACGAGGGCCACTGTAAGCTGGCAGACTTCGGAATGTGCAAGGAGGGGATCTGTAACGGAGTCACCACAGCGACCTTCTGTGGCACGCCCGACTACATTGCCCCAGAGGTGGGTGCTGTGGAAATCTGAGCTCCACAGGAACCCCAATGAGCGATGCCCCGCTTGCTTTCATGCACCGTGGCTTTGTGGGCAGTGTTGAGAGCTGATGCCTCCACACTCCTTTGTCATCGCTTGGCTGGATGATGGCTGAAAATGTCTCTAAATAAGAATCTGAGTCAAAAATTGTTGTTTGTAAACTTTGTGGTTGCTTTCAGGCTTTAGGACTCACAGTTATTTACTTTTCCCTTATCTCTACTCGGTGCTTCCATCCCAGGCCCATGTAGCAGAAGTAAACAAAACCCCTTGAATCTTTTCCATACAAGTGAGCGAGCCCATCCTCTTCCTCTCATGTAGCTGTAGTCCCAAACCCTTCTGTTTCGGATCTATGCGTGTCATTACCTTGGTCTAATGACCAAGGCCACAAATGTTTGATCGCCTGGATGAGAAGCTGGCCTTTGAGTTGACCACAGGGAAAATTGGCCACTCTCTAGAGATAGAATGAAACACGAATGTCAACACATGAAACTCAGTTTTGTTACTTCCATATTTCATAATCTATTGTTTTCTCTAGTTATGAAGGATGTATGTGTTAATCAGATATGCAAAGCCCTTCTCACATCGCCCTCCGTCTCTGCACAGATCCTCCAGGAAATGCTCTACGGGCCCGCGGTAGATTGGTGGGCAATGGGCGTGTTGCTCTATGAGATGCTTTGTGGTCACGCGCCCTTCGAGGCAGAGAATGAAGATGACCTCTTCGAGGCCATACTGAACGACGAAGTGGTCTACCCTACTTGGCTCCATGAAGATGCCACAGGGATCCTGAAATCTGTAAGTTTGGCTTACTTACCTAGTAGCCATTTTCTACCTGCAGCAAACCAGCTTGCTAGACGTGATTCTTGTGTCTCTATTTAATACCTCGTGCAACATAAGCTATGAGCTTTAACTGAAATATGGGATTTCATCTGTAGAATCAAAGAACCATAGTTCTCTCAGGCTGTTTTCCTCTCTTATGCAATAGGTAGTTCTGAGCCAACTATGATAGCAGTTGACAGTGTTGCTTGCCAACTATCCAGTATTTCTAGCACTTGTAGCTTTAGTACGATGCTCCCCTTGGGTCAGGACATACCGCAGTGGTGGGTCACATGACCACTATTCCCAGTGCATTGCACTACAGATTGTGTTTCTGCTGCCGATGTGCAAGGAGCAGGACCAAAGGCCCTTTCCCTTAGTGCTGGGAGGTGAGAAGAAAGGTTTCCCAACCTCTGCAGACCTGTTTTGCTTCCATTGTATCCTTAACGCAAGCCAGGCACCAGGCCCAGGATTCAGGTACAGTGAGGTAATGCACCATGTTGAAAAAGTCTTTTTCTGCATGCATGTAAGGCATTATACTGGAAGCCTTATTTTAAATGAGGAAGAAACATAGATTGATGCCTTTATGTTGAAAATAAGAAAGCACATTGGAGTTTGGCTCTGTTCTATAATGTTATTTGAGTTCAAAAACCGTATGTTACCACCTACTGTGTGCTTAGGGGAGAGTAAAGATGAAGATAGCTGGTTCATTTCCAAAAGGTGTTGATGGTGCTGGGAGTTCCGGTTAAGAGGCCTGTGGAGCAGCTGCATTTTCTCACATGGGAACTCCAGTCCTGGAATAAAATTTACTGTCTTCACACTTTTTAAATGTACAGTTCAGTAGCGTTAAGTACATTCATATGGTTGTGCAACGATCACCACCATCCATTTACAGAACTTTTTTCATCTTCCAAAACTGAAACTTCATACCCCTTAGACACTACCTCCCCCCAGTCCCTGGCAACCACCATTTTGCTTCTAGTCTCTATGGGTTTTACTATGCAGTGCACAGCACCTCATCTAAGTGGAATCATACGTTCGTCCTTTAGCAATTCAAAAATTTTTTAAAAGCCTGGGATCAGAATCCAGATTTTTCTGATGCCAGTCCAGGGTTCTGAGCTAGACTACATCTGGCCATTCTCTATTTTTCTTCTACTTCCCATCAATAAGCATCTTTCAGCCTCAGAGCCCCATGTTTTTAGCACCTAAATCACTCCCTGCTGGGATCCTTTCCAGTTGCACAAGAAACATAAGCCCCTAGGGGAAGCTACTAGATGCTGTGTACTTACTACCCACAGAGCATCAATCTGTCACCTATTAAACATTCAGTAAAGCCAGAAATAATGTTTATAATAATGTTACAGCATTATTTAAAGATTCTGCATTTGAATACTGCCATAATACCAGAAATAATGATTATTCTGTTGACCTGAGATGAGTCTGCAACCCTGGAAGAAGAAACTGATATATTAGTAAACTAGAATTCCTGTTTAATTCAATTCAGCAAATACGCATCAGATGCCTTCCTTTGGCGTGGCCTGTGCTTTGTGCTGGGAATGCCAAAGGTGAAGAGACGGGCCTCTGATGTTGCCCACAAGCTAGTAGGAAGGGGAGAGTGTAAATAAATACTTAGCTCACTGCCAAGGAGAAATAATCAGAGCCGTCTCTGGAGGCAAAGACAGGGAAGGTGGCCCAAGGGGTGACACGAGGACGAGACGGAGGAAGTAGCAGTTGAGCTGGGTGCTGGGGAACAAATAAGGGTTCGGTAGGGTGTAAAGGCCCAGAGGCAGGAAGTAGTGTGCATGGTTGCAGACCGGCAGTGACAAGCCCTGTACCCCCAGAGTGTGAGGTGCAGGGAGGGGTCAGCGAAAGAGGGGTGTAGGGCATGGGAACTCTGAGGGGCCTGGGAGACATACAGGAAGTATATACGCCTTGCCGTTGATCACATGGGTCTGGAACTCAGGAGAGGCTGGTGCTGATCGCTCCAGCGTGTAGGGAGAATGTGGGAGCAGATATTGACTAGGGAGAGGACCTAAAGAGGGCACAGAGGACGGGGCCTAGGGCACAGCAGTGTTAAGGGGTGGCAGCGGAAGAAAGTTCAGTGAGAAGGTTAGGAAGGAATGACTGGGTTGTATGAACATCTGCGTCTGCAGTGTGTGCTCAGTTTACTCCTGGTGGAAGAGGCCGGCAGTTTTACAGCATGACTGAGCCCTAAACTGATGCTGCAGTAACTCTTGAGTAGCACTGGCTAGGACCGAGCGGTCTTAGGCCAGGTAACGAAGGGCTTGCAGGTAACAAGATTGCATTTCGCTGTACAGTTCCAGATCGAGGAAGGCACACCACTTTCTTTAAAAATACAGGCTTCAGGCCTTTTTTCTGGGATTTTGTGAGCTTGGTGACTTCCAGAGTTTCTAAAGTTGAAAGTTGACTCCATTCAGTGGTGTCTTGCATAGTCCTAAAAACTGTCAGGAGGTCGTGTTTCTAAGTTTTGGATTGTAATCACTTGCCTTTACCCCTAATTTCACTGAGCTCGGTGACTATTAGAAACACAAACACCGAATTTCAGAGACAGCAGATCCTTAAACATCGGGTCCATACCCCTGGGTGGTAGGTGAAGCTGCGGCCTAGAGAACAAACCAGGTACATGTGGCAGACTGGGGAGAGCACAACGACATGAGAGTCGAGAGGCCCGCTCTACTCCCGCCACTGCTTCCCGGGCTCACCCTCCGCGAGGCGGGAGGATGGCGCCTGCGGGGCCCACTTCCAGTGGGTGGTGCACATGAAAGCAGTTTTGGAGGGGCCCACACCATGCAGGAGTAAATCACTAATGTTGTTGAGTCATGACTAGTGAATTTACAACGTGCTGAGAGGTGTCATTATCTTCCTCCTGTCCTTGAAGAATTCGCCAACATCATCAAGATCATTAAGTGCTAAATTGTACACGAGGCTGGGTTAGATTTTTATCCTGCAGAGAACTGCGTTTGTGGTTTTTCAGGAGCTCTCTATCTAAACCGAAGACACTCATGTGGTGTGTAGTCAAATAGGTATTGATCCTCCCGTTCATGGAACAGAAACCTGCCGATGCAGAGCGGCCCAGGACGGCTGTGCTCACGGGCTGTGTGAGGAGCTGGGCGTGCAGAGACGAGCAAAACACATCATCCCTGTTCTCATGGACTTTACAGTCCCGTTGGGGTGGGAAGAGACATGTTTAAAAAGAAATTCTACAAATAACTACATATATACTTACAATGCAATAAGAAAAAAATCCGAGTTGCTTTGAGAGTATGTAACAGGCAGACCCATCTAGGCCGTCATGGGAGGCCATGCTGGGGAGACGACATTTCAGCTGAGGCTGCAGAGGAGTCAGGTGTACACGTGTGCAGTGGTCTTGAGGAAGGAGAAGCCCTTCTGAGTAAGTCTGTGGCTGACCTGTAACGAGCACACGTGTGGGGCAGTGGTGAGGGTGGGACACTGGAGACCATGTGAAGGAGAATAGCCTTCACCTGATGTGCCAACATGCTTCATTGAAAGATTGCAAGCAAGCATGAGTGACTAAACTATTCTTTCATAGTTCAGAGGTTACTCTGGATCTAATAGACTGAAGTAGTCACAGTTGAAACACCTGGGGTTTTTCCAAAATAGTCCAGGGGTGGCAGAGAGGAACAGATTAAACAAGACTGGGCATGTGTCAGTAATTGTCACGACTGGGTGATGGACATGTACTAACGTGTTTGAAAATGTCCATAAATGGTGAATTTTTGAAAATGAGCATAGGAATCAGAGTACGTACTCATGTGTGCATGAGTAGACTGTGTAGGACAATGAACTTTGCCTTCATGTATGAAATGAGATAGTTTAACAATGCAAATATATATAAAGAGGAAAAATGATGTAAGCCATAGATCTGTGTACGTCATTTTTAAGTTTCATTTTGAATTTATTGTGAAGTATTTCAGTAACAATGGACCCGGCTACATCTTTGATTCCCAGTAAGAGAGTCTCCAGGCCCTGGCCTGGGCGTCTCTATCGCCCTCTTCATTTTTATGCTGCAGACAAAATTAATCAGTGGTTTCAGCATACTTATTTTTTTTTACCACCCATGAACAGCCTCCGTACCTTCTCAAGAGGTGTCCCTTCAACCCCCAAGTTGGGTACCTAAGTGTACCCCAAAGAAGGATTTCTAACGGATAAATGGGAACAGAGGAGCGCTCTCGCCGGTGCACGTGGTCCCAAGCTGCTGCCCTCGCGACCCTGTGCGATTTTGCTCTGCTGGGCTGCGTCTGCCTTTCCCACTGAGAGGCAGGAGGGCCGAGGTCTCCCAGCCAGCCCTTCATGTCCGCTCTCACCACCACCTCTCTGTAACGGGTCACCCTAATTGGCTTCCCGAAACTCCTGATCTTTTCTTTGGAACATGAGGTCAGGGCTGAAATTGGTGTCTGCTGAGTATTTTGCTTGGCCTTTTATATTTTTCCTTAAAAAAACAAAATGCTTTCTGAATTCCTCCCTACCTTTTTAAATGAAAAGTATTATTCCATATCTGTACTGTAGGAACTATTTGGATAACCATTTATAGTAAATAACATTACCATAGAGATATAAAGGCTTCAGGGCATTGTAGGGTATGACAGTGTCAGTGAATGCCATGAATTCAGGGTGAGGGGTGCTCTTGCCCAGCATTCCACAGAAAGTGGTGGGACAGGAAGGGCACCAGTGTCTTGCCCAGCATGACTCCTAACCCAATATGACTTTCTTACCCTGGCCCTACCCACCATCACCTCTGCTGCCACCCCCTGATAGTGGACTTTTGAGTTCTTCGGACATGAGTGTCCAAACATTTCATGTAGACATGGGCAAGGGGCGGGCACTTGCCTCTGAGAACACTCTCCTGGGGACCCAGAATTAGGAGGAGCAGTTCACACAATTTTCAGCCCAGGACTTCTACTTGAAAAAATTTCTCAACTCATTAACCAGTGAGCCTT